TCACCATACACATTCACATTTACTTTGTGTACATTGCAAGCTTGGTGGCGATCGGCAAAGCTTATTTCAATGGATTTCGCTGTACAGTCATAATGATTACTACAGTTCAAATAACCGCTAACCTTGCTTTTCACCAGAGTTAGTATCAAATACGAAAAGTGAGCAGAATGAAATAGTACAAAATGTTGCTACCAATGAATTCCGGTTAATGTTTCAGTGAAGAAGTGCATGCAATCTACCGTGTGGATGGCGCTCCACCATCCTAGATTGTAGGTGTCGACCAGGAACTCCAACATTATCTGCTCGATCCAGTTGATTTCTTTAACTTCTCTTCCTTCTCAGATAGCGGTTGTCCTGATTGGAATCCCTCATCTTGGTCAACGTTGGCAGTCATTTTCGGCTTTTTCTTTAATAGTTTTTTGAGATGCTCTATATGATTTCCCTACTTCATATTACACGCCATTCAGGGTCTCTGCCCAAAGCATTCACGCAAAGATCAACAGCATCAATCGGGACGTTCGCCATCCAAGAATGTTCCTCGAAGTGCTCCGCTGAAATCGCCCAATCAGTCGCCTGTCCCTACAAACTGTGGATCGAACCAACAGTCATCTATTGCACTCCGCAAACAAAGGTGAGACATATTTGAGACTGTACAAATCGAATTCATGCTTCAATCAGATGTATAATTCATTGTTGGAAACCCATCTCGTCTAAAAGAACTCAACCACTACACGTGCGTGCAACTATACATGCCCACCTCAGTTTATCGATTTCTGTTTGTTTACCCGTCATGCAAAACATCCCGCACAGCAGACAGTCATGTCCAAATTTCACGCGCTTGTTAGTGAATCGTGCCTAGTCATCTTTTTTCTTGTATGATATACAATATTGTGCAATCCGTTATCACGAGCAATAGTAGGCGCTAGTTTGTACTGACAAAATATTACCAAAGGGGATGAATACAGCTATTATAGATATGACTTATGTAACTTGTGGATTGTTATTTTCGCTTTCCATATATGTCATCAGCTTGCGAGTAAGCTTGATATCAACACAACAACGAGAATAGCGGAACATGGAGGTGGGATACAAAGCAGAATGTTATGCCTTCCGAAATCAGCTAGTCAATCTTGCTTAACGAATGACCGGTTAAGTGTGCTATATTATTGTCATTGATTTTTGGATTCGTAGTAATGATATACTGATATTTTGTTTTTCCGGATATGCCAAGGTGTACTGCATTCTGCTGTCTGTCTGACTGTCCATTTAACTTACAGTCTACTGAACATGTCCATTTGCTTCCTGAAGTTCATCTTTCTACTATCGCTCGTTTTTGTACGTTTACATTTTATAATAATCAACTTGCATCAAGTATATTTCACGTCAAAGTTTCTGACATTTCGAAACTGAACGTCTTGTTCACGAGAATAGTCAGCTGCCTTCCGAGAGAGCTAGAACGGCGCCATGAAAGTAATCTGTTTTGATAATTTTTGTTGCCATCAGGATGTTAGTTTGTTTTTGGTGAATGTGACAAAATCTAACTTACTCGGTGCATCTTGAGATTTTTCTCGAAGTCAGTTATCGGGGATGACATTACTGTTGATCCCAAGCGGCCTAATAATCCGATGGATGGGCAGATTTCTATCTTTAAGTGAACTATTCTTGATCACAACAGTATCACTCTTATCGTTCACTGCGATAGATCCTAACATGATTTTTTTTTGTTTCAGAATACTGGAGCTGGAAAACGACTTTCATAAATTGATAACGGATCCGGAACTTGTCGCACACTTGAATAGACGCCACCAAAAGGTATCTTCCCCTAAAGTTGGTAGAACAAACGCGGGTTCCAGTCCACGCAAAATGGTGATACCGGAAGATATACGGCTTGCAATATCCGCTTACTGGCGTTTGAAACGGCGTGCCAACTTCAATCAGCCGTTAGTTAGTCCTGTTCCGATGGAATGGCGCCAGACCGCAACCGAAGTGGTGGCAACAACGAAAGAAGCGCTTGCCCAAGCCGCACGAGCTAAGGAAGAAATGCTTGCGTTTGATGCATTTCGACGCATTCGTTTTGGCTTGGATCGGGCTCGACTCGTTTTGGACATGGTTTTGAAACGAGAGCGACGCAAATCAGCTCTGTTCAAACGAATGTCACGCATTTTGGAAATTCAGTTAAGAATGTTGATGACCGGAAAACGCTGTTCTCTGTCTGCAGAGGATAGGTCATTCATATCAACAGTCCACATAGGTGACTCCATATACGATAATGCGGAACTGTTCGAGGCTCATAGATCCGGACGTGTATCTGGTGCGTCCTCTTCACAATCTTTAAAGACTAATAACTGTAATTCACAATTAACATCGGTCGAGAAAGCACAGATACGAGATCAAAAGGAACGCGTTGTACCACCTAATGCGTCGGAAGCAAGTAATTCGAAAAAATCAAGCGATCTAACGCCCTGTGATCTATCTGCTATCCCACGGGAACAGTTCGTCGTTCCAGAGGATATAAAACAGCGTTTACGATCTGCGTTAGCCATGGTTTCGACAAATCGCCTATCGACAACCACCCCGGTTAATCCAAGATCAAAAGCCCTCATTGGTGTGGAAACAATTTCAACCAAAGAAGGAAACATTCGGATAATTCCCGGTATTTATCAGTCGTCTGGAACTACTCGCACAAAGCGATCCCCTTCCGAGAACATATTTGCATGTTTCGGTGCACAAAGCTCATTAGGCGAGTTTCAGTCACCGACACCAGCGAAGCGCGCAAATCGTCGTTCGGTCAATTTATCACAGACACTTCCTCTGCCTCCGTTTGGCGACCACACAGTTCCTGTGCTAAGCAAGTTTGCTACTGTCAGACTCGGTCCGGGAGCTGTTCGGCTGATATGAGAACAGATTATTTTCATGATATCGTGCCTTCAAGCTGGCTCACCAAATGCATTTTGTGTACATACAGATGAACCTACTATTCGATGATTTCTTCGACATACAATCTATTCTGGTCTTTTCGGTGCGGCATGTGATAAATTATTATTTTTTTGATTCGTTTGAAGATTTGTCTGCATACCAGCGTACCTCAGTATTTTTGTTGCTCTTTCATCGATGTACATATTAGATGAACGTGTTGACCGAAATTCTATCACCTGGTCAACTAGAAATATCCTTTGTTCCCCTATGCTCTTTTAACGTGTACGGCATATTTGTGACCAGCCTGAAAAGGTGTTGTGGTACATGTAGATATGTTGTACAGTATGTAATCTTCCGTCCTCACGTGTTCTGTATTTCTTATTTTCGAAGGTATTCAAATACAACAAAAAATCCGATTGGTCCATACGTGCGCGAAGCATGTGGACATTTACTGAGTAGATCGACTTGGATGTAGTGGGAATCTCACAATCCACACAAAAACTGACGTTCTGTATAAGGTCACCCTGGTTTGTGCGTGCTGATCTACTACGCATGTGGTATTGTTGTTCATATGTTGATAGATATGTACGCATTAGGGCAGTAGTTATTGTTTCGCAGGGACGGAATAATTTTTCATGCAACCAGTTCCCTTTAATATTTTCACGAAAGCAAGAAGCATCATGATCACAAGAAGTGTTGAATTCAACTATTTCGTGGTAATCCCATCAACTGTGTACATACATTCGGATCACGTTTAGTTAAAAGAGTGACAAGTTTGGGGACAGGCGAACACACACGGGGAAGAGAAATCGATCAATACGAAGGACAAAGGTCACTAATATGAACCGGATGATGAGATCATCACGAAATAGTTGAATTCAACCCACCCCGTGATCATGATGCTTCTTGCTCTCATGGAACAATTTTTGTTTGGGTTTAGTTAAGGAGTGGAATTTTGGTGTCCATTCGAAATTGTTGATTCATTCGGAAGTTATGCATAGAAGAAGNGCTTTTTCCAAATATAAAAACATTAAGGGGGGATCAATGTCCGATTTATACGATCCCACCAATTCGATTGCATTACACTATATAAGCGATGTATGCCTTATTTATCGCACATCTGTTCACTAGAATAAATCAGATGGATGAAGGCACTCCATTACAGACCATAAAGGAGATCGAGATATTACTGCTCCTCCTGACTGTTGAGCCCAGTGTGGTGTACACGAACCAGACGCGAAAGTAA